CTGATTTGATGGTTTCCTACTAAAAGCGATAGGCTTGGTAAAATAGTGTAACAGGAGAATTGATTAAATTTACTGATGGTTCAGGGTCCAATTCTGTGCTATTTATGTACTAGGGTAAGCTCTCTGTTTTTAGTGGGCAGCTTCTGAGTATGTAACAGCAACCATGTATATATTTAAGTCCACTTGTTGAACTTATAGCTCTCTATCAGAACTTTGAAATCTGATGATCTTCAGTTTATGACATACAATCGTAAATTAGTTACCTTTAAAATAAAAATGGATTTCTAAGAGTATCTTAGAGTCACTCGGGTTTTTTTCATGTTGTGCATTAGAAGAGTTTATTTAAGAGGATGGTAACTTTAAAGCATTTTGATTTTATTTTCTAATATTGTTGTATAGCTTTTATTTTTAAGCATAGAACAAGAAATACAGAAAGTGTTAAGTATACAAATGAGAGCTAGTTACATAAAATGAAGGTTACTAGTATTGCTGCAATAATCCTAACTGTAGATAAAATCCATATATTTAATAATTTAACTTCTAAATACCACTACAGAAGTTTGGCCTTTATTTTCTAAATAGTACCAAGATCTGCTGTTATTACAGCAATGGAGAGGAGGGAAGCAAAAAATATTCTCTGTGTATTTCTGTAGTTTACAGGGCAGTTTACATCAATTAAAAATGTAAGACAAAACATGATGTCATTCTCAAAGTAAAGTGTTTATTATACTTCAGGTTAAATCTAAAGTTGTTTCACAAATAATGCAAGCAAATATAGATCTACCACAATATTTAGCATATTTTCTCTTTTTAATTGTCCTATGAAAAAATCAGAGATTTTTTTTTTCCAAATCATTCTCTTATCTTACTGGAAATTTTATCTTTAAGCTTGTTGGATGTCACAGGCAAGCATTGTGTTTCATTAACTACGTCTAGAATATATTCTTTTTAAAGCTTCCTGTTGCTGTCTAATTTATAAAAATAATAGTGTGAACATTAAGGTAGAAGAACCAGTGGCATTTTAAGATCAGTGTCCAAGATTCTAACCCAGGCTAAGTGATAGTAATTAATAAGACAGAAGACCTGGAGACAAGTCCGGACAAAAGCCAGCAATGGAGCTGAATCAGCACAGCAGCTGTTGGGAACCACTGGGCAGGGACATCTGACTGAATGGTGCTGTGTAAATCACTACACAGTATTGGTTTTGAGACATTAATGTTACCATTTAATATACATAATAATCCTCAATGAAAGTGAAGTAATCAATTTGCAATCATACTTTCCTGCAAACTCATTTTTAATTTTACGTTTGGTAAATACAGACATTATATCTAAAAAGCATGTGTCTCCTTCTGCTGACATGACTGACAAGCCCTACGTACAATGTGCTTCGAAAACAAACATGGCTCAATACCTTTGGGTCGGTAACATACAAATCCCACAGAATGTTCTGAGTTGGAAGGGACCCACAAGGATCATCGAGTCCAACTCTTAAACTGAATGGCCCATATGGGGATTGAACCCATAACCTTGGCATTATGAGCACCATGCTCCAACCAAATGATGAAGAATGTTTCTTAGTAATGTTCCTAAAGTGTGTCTTAGAGAAAGTAGCAATTCACATGCTGGAGAAATAAAATCAAACTGGAGTTTAAAAAAAATCTGTATGCTGTGTAATTCTGTGTGCCTTCTTGTAGGATACACACAGTTACTCAAACTAGTTGATTACATTGCTATGCTTAAGCAAATTTGTTATACAAAAAATAAACACATTTTTTAAATTTACACTCTTACCAGACTGGTCTGTCTTTCAGGGTGAGCACTGTGATAGCTTCTTGTAACATAGAGCGCACAAAAGAAAAAAATAAGTATGTGTTTTGCAGAACTTATAAAAATCTTTTTTTGTTAATTTCACAATGATGGAATCAGAGATGTGGGTATGTTCACAGCTGGAACAATGTGAAGTGTATTTTCACATAGGCTGGCACAAGGTTCTCAGCAAAAGTTACTAGTTAATATAATGGAAAGTCCCCAGATTCCAGGTTGACCCCTGCAAGTAGCTATAAACCTCCCAGTAGGGATTCCCTTACCTGTAGTTTGCTATTTAACTAAGAAATAATTCACTATTTCTCTATCCCTTTCAGAATGTCAGTTTGCTTAAAATAGAAATCATTTCATGCTGACCTATGGCAGGACACATTTAGCTTCTAAAGGGTTGAAAATAGGCTATAAAAGGCTGTAAAATATCAAAGGGGTTAATTAGGAAAGTGAATGGTCAGAAGATTAACAAATGCTACCTCCAAACGTGTGCTGAAACTGGTGTGTATGAAAAGTGTATAATCAGACTACCAGATGAATGTCACTTGTTTGGAGTTAAAAAACCAAAATAAAATAAAAATCCCACATGATTGGATATTTGGTATATAATATATTCACAAAAAGTATTTAAGTCATGGATGACCTAGTCCCTGACTGATCGAGTCACTTAAAGATTGAGTATATTATAAAAAAAGAGAGCATTAAGTGCTTGTTGACTGGCTACATTTTGAATAGCTCATTAGACTAGAATTATTGTTTCATTGTGTCACAGGTTCCTTATCCAGAAAAAGTATATTACTCAGCAATTAACCAAGGTCTTTTAAGGACTGCTGGAGATTAAGATTAAATAACATACAGCAGAAGAAGGTGCTCGATGATCAATGTTTCTAAGCCAAAAAATGCAAAGTCCCATTTCATTTCTGTTTGAACTGCCTCACCCCAGAGCTAGTCAGCAACATTGAATGAGATTGCCAGAAGATCAACGAGCTGTTCCTTGTCCCACTCTTGAGGTTACTTTTTCTGAGACTCATTTTTTCTTTTCCTTATTGGATTGAACTGCGCTGCTGAAGTCAATCAATGTATACGCTAACTCGGATGCAGTGTTGAGAAATTACATCTTTCTCCACTGAAATCACTTGTGAGAAAAATTACAAAAACTGTTTATCAAGCAGTATTGAAACACAGTTTCAGTAAGAAAAGTCTCATAATACTCAAAGCTGTCCACAAGCTTTAGTTTGGCATCCACTTCAGAAAACAGTTTTAGAGGCAGAAGGGTTTGGGGAAGTTTTTTAAATATAAATGATTCTATACACATTTAAATAATATATAAATAAATAATGTTTTATATCTGCATACACACACACGCACACATGCACAGAGCAGCTTGCTCCACAGGGGAAAATCTAGATTGTTATCTGTATCCCACCTTGAAAAAGTTGTGAAACGTGATGTGGTGCAGTTTGTTAGTGACTTGAAGCACTATGGTGTGTACTCCCTCTCCTAGGGATAAGCCCACGAGACAAGAAACCATGGAACTGCCACAGGGTGAACACAAGTGTTACAAGAGGATCATTCAAATGAGGAAGGGTTTCTGCCTGTGCTCTGGCATGTGCACAATGGCTTTTATTTGCCTGGAGAGAAGATCTGCTGAAAAACGCATAAACATTCCCTTGATCTGATGGTTCACATGAAAATAAGCAACCTAACTAGTAGTAGGGCATACTCTGTAGCTACTGTTATAGTTCATGAAATATGACTGAGAAGAGTCATTTCCAGGGGAAAGAAAAAAGACAGCCATTTTTTCCAACCATCTTTTGACCACTTTAGCTACCAAAATCTTTCTTGAAGAAGTAATCTGAGACATATGGCATTTCAAATCTATACAGGTGTTGCATACACACTGATTCTGAAGACTTTCTGGGACTTAGTTTTGGAGCATGAGATGTTTCCTTCATCAAGAGGCAGATGACATTAACTGGGGATGGGTGGTGGTGACACATGATGCAGAAATAGTCTGTACCACCCGCTGTGATTGAGGGTTGGAGTTTAGAAGAAACTCACCTTAATAGCCCTTCTCCCTCCCCTGGCCCTGTTCCCTGAAACTCAGGCTCTGAGGTTACATCTTCATTTCACGTTTAAGTCTTCTGCTCACTTAGCCCAACTGAGAGAAGGCCACCTGACCCGCACACAGCAGAACTAGCAGCTGTTGAACTGTGCTGTGTCCAGCACTAGTGTCTGCTCCGTGGCACATCAGCTACCTCGAACTAAAATCACCATCGCGCGCGATCAGAGGTTTACGCGTGGGGGTGTTTGCACAGAGCTCAGGTACAAAGCTGAAGGCTGAGCGCGGGGAACAATGGACAACCGCGGGGCGGTTTGATCAGAAAGTGTCACCGCACGCTTGTGTCACCATACATTTGTGACCACACCGGACATCTCGGTGCTTCCAAACGCAGCTCCCACCGCATCCCGGTAAAGCGTTTCCTCTGACCCACACATCCAGCCGGGGAAGGCGTGAGAACGACACCACCAGTCCAGCTGTACACATCGAGGGGACACAACCTCCACGATACAGGGAGACGAAGGAAGCGGCCCGAAACTCGGCATTTCAACGCCTGGAAGGGACTTGTAAGCCCGAGGGACATGGCGGTCCCCCGGCAGCCACCCAGCGGCCAGCCCTTCTCTGGGACTCGGCAGCTTCCAGCGAGGAAGCAGGAGTGCCGCGGGACCCCGGGCGGGAGGCGATGCCGTGTCCCGGGATACCCGGCGATACCGGGAACGGGGACAGTCCCCGCCAAGGGGGCGGGACAGGGAAAGGAAGGGAAAGTAAGATAAGGTCACCGCCGCGCATGCGCGCTGGTCGCCCACTCCCACCATTACCTGCGAGCCACCCGGCGCCGCCGCTTTCTTTTTCTTGGCGGGACCGCCGCCGGTGCCCGGGCTCGCCGGGCGCTTCTTGCTGCGGGACGGGGCGCCGGCGGGAGAAGCGGCGGCGGGAAGCAGGCTGGCCATGCCGCCCCGCTCGGCTCCGCGGCCGGCACAGCTCCCCCTCCCCGGGCGTGGTGGCGGCGCTGTGCGCGCATGCGCAGTGGCGGCGGCGTGCCCCCTCTACCCCCGGCTGGGCCGGGCCGGGGCGGGCGAAGCGAATAGGGCACCGGCCCGAGCTTGTGAGGGACCGAGCTCGGAGCCACTGCGGCCGGGGCCTCGGAGGGAGCAGCTCGGCCTCCTCCTCGTTGCCCTGCAGTGTCGCAGGCCCCTCCTTGGAGGCCTGGCTGTGGCAGCAGAGCCGGCCCCGGGGAGCCCGTGTGCATGGGAGGTGACAGTGTGTCGAGGTGTGGGTTTGCTCGCCGTCGGGGGTGAGCGATGCTGGAAAGGGCGCTGGGTCTGAGTCTTCTGTGCCACAGAGGCCTTTGCAGGTGTGCAATAAAGAGCTGTGCGAGACCCGGCTGAACTCAGGCTGTGGTTTCGGAGATGGGGCCCTTGTCACCGCACAGAGCGGGCCCAGCAGTGTGTGCTGGGCCTGCGGGCAGCTCCTGCCGTAACCTGGCCAAGGCGAGATAAAGCTTATCGAAACGCCCTCATAACGATGAGAATGGTGTGCGAGTCTCAGACGTGTCAGCTTTTGTTCCAGTTGCCTCGATAAAATATTCAGAGGGGTTTAGTTGCTCCCTTCAGTTCTCAGATGGTGAGCTCTGAGGACCCTAACCAGTAAGTGTTCCGTGTGGTCATCCACACTTAACTGTGTAAGCTGTTAAAATTCAAGTTGCAAGTAATTGCCATTGTCATTAAAAAATTCAGAATATAATTACAGATAGCTGGTACTTACTGCCTTTCTGGGTAATTCATACTGTTCCAGATTTGGTTGTTTCCACACTGTTTTGCCATAGCTAGTGTCCTGGTCTGGAGTTTTTAACACTTGTTGGAATCTGGAGTAGTTTTGCCCTGGGGAAACATCCGAGAATAAATTTGAGGGGACTTGGACTGTGCTCCAAAGTGTTTTCGCAGTCCTTTTACTGTCTGTGCTGTTTCATGCCATGCTCCAGAGAACTGGTTGGTGGTGATATGGGGTTACATACAGTTCTTAAGCTGCTTGATGACTGAGAAAACTTTTTATGCTTGCATGCACCTGCATTCAACATGCTGGTCAACTTATTACCATATTTGTTTGAGCTACCTCAATGCAACGCCTGTCTTCTAGGTTTCTAGCTGCAGCTGTATGAGATCCTGCCCCAGCACATGCCTTGTGGAGAGGCAGAGGTCCAAGAAGTTGATATTCAGGCATAAAAATTAGGTCACATTTATAGACGGTGCTGTAATGAGGACAGAGCTTGGTCACAGTAGGGGTGCCAGGCAGTGCTGTGTAAAACAAAAGCTTTGAAGGTGGCCTGAAAGAGAGTTGAAGACAAAAGCCTGGACTTCCAGGCTGTGTTCCAGGCACCTGTATATGTAGCAGAAAAGCAGGACAAGATTTGCTTTCCAGGGGCATAAGCAAGGCCTTGTACAGACATCCAAGTCCCATATTCTCCTTCCCAACTGTAGTTGCTGTCTTTCTGTGTGAGCACGCAGGCTGCCAGCAGCATCACAAAGAAAACTGGTAAACTCAATTGCATTTGCCCCTAGTGATTGTTTCAGGCTTGTGTGTGCTATGCAGTACATGTTGCTTCTCGCTTAAATAGACAGCCTCCCATTGCATGCTCAAGACAGTGACTTGAGTGTGGAATTAGCAGGGGCACTGGGAATTGCAGGGGAGTTGTGTCCCTTGACAAAGCCAGATCTGCTTTGCTGTCTGCTCAAAGTGTTGATCTTGTCTTAGTCAGCCTTTTCTTGTTGCCAAGGCTGGGGCCCGTCTCTTTCCCATGCACATGCTGTGTGCCCAGCTCTCAGGCATGACCAATTAAATAGGAAGCATACCTTATCACAGGGATGTTTTTACCGAGAGGAGCACCTTTAATGAAAGTGCATCATGCAGAGAATTAATGTGCTGCATCAGTGAAAGTTTTTAAATAGCACTTAGCCAGGCATTTTCTTACCTGTGCCCACTTTTATCAGTTGGTTTACTAAAAATCACAAGGCCCACATGTATTGCAGCAATATTAAGTACAATGGAATTTTACATGGTACCAAATGGTTTACAGAATCACAGTTTGAAGAGACCACAGTGAGTCACCTGGTCCAACCTCCCTGCTCAAGCAGGATCATCCTAGAGTACATGGCACAGGATTGTGTCCCGATGGTTCTGGATATCTCCAGTAAGGGAGACTCCGCAACCTCTCTGGGCAACCTGTTCAGAATCACCTGCATAGTAAAGTTTTTCCTCATATTCTGGTGGAATTTTCTGTGCATCAGTTTCTGCTTGTTGCCTCTTGTCCTATTGCTTGGCACCACTGAGAAGAGCCTGAATCCATTCTCTTGGCACCTTCCTTTTGAATACTTATAGACATTGATGAGGTCCCCTCTTGGTTTTCTCTTCTCAAGGCTGAACAGGCCCAGCTCCCTCAGCCTTTCCTCATAAGGGAGGCGCTCCAGTCCCTTTATCATCTTCATAGCCCTCTGCTGGACCTGCTCCAGGACTTCCCTGTCTCTCTTGTCCTGAGAAGCCCAGAACTGGACACAGCACTCCAGATGTGGCCTCGGGCAGAGCACAGGGGCAGGATCACCTCCCTCGACCTACTGCCAATGCTCTTGCTAAGGCATCCCAGGATACCACTGGCCGCCTTGGCCTGCAGAGCACACAGCTGGCTCATGGACACCTTGTTGTCCACTGGGACCCCCAGGTCCTTCTCTGCAGAGCTGCTTTCCAGTAAGTCAGCCCCCAGCCTGTACTGCCTGGGGTTATTCTTCCCCAAGTGCAGGACCCTGCACTTGTCTTTGTTGAATTACAGAAAGTTCCTCTCTGCCCACCTCTTCAGCCTTTTGAGGTCCTTCTGAAGGGCTGCACAGCACTCTGGGGTATCAGCTACTCCTCCCAGCTTTGTGTCAGCAGTGAACTTGCTGAGAAAGGATCTGCCTCTTCATCCAAGTCGTTGATGAATAAGTTAAACAATACTGGGCCCAGTGTTGGATCTTGGGGGACACCACTGGTGACAGGCCTCCTACTAGACTCTGTGCCACTGATTATGATCCTCTGGGATCTGCTGTTCAGCCAGTTCTCAATCCACCTCACATACAATCCCAGAAGACCCATAACTCATTGAGAAATAGCAACAACGGCAATGTAAATGGTGAGAGTGTCTGCAGGGATGAGTAGGAGAATTGAGGATGGGAGAAGGGCTGTGGAGTTGCACAGTTCCTTCTCCCTGCTCCTTGATTGGCTGTCCAGAACCAGCCCTGAAAATTAAGAGATGTTTTTCTGCTGAATAAGTGCCATGTGTATTTTGCTGGCTTCCTGTTACACGCTTACATAGGCAGTTGCTTTGTGATATGGACAAGGGCTCACCTGAAGAAGTGCCAATTGCAATTGCTAGTCTGGCTGGGTGTGACATGGCTCTTCCTGCTGTTCATTTTGAACCTGGCTTGAGTTGAACACCTTTTCCCTTTCTAGTATACAAGGTCTATTGTTTTATATATTACCTTTCTAATAAGAAAATTAAATACTGCTCAGCAACAACTCTGCACACTCTTTGACATGAGCAGTCACCCACCTGTAATAGCCTCAGAGAGCTGGAAAGGCTCCTGTTACTTTTTTTCAATAATATGTGGGGAAAAATGCAGGAATCTCCTGAATTAGGAAGAACATCTCAGGGTCCTATCCCGGGTTTGGGGGGGGGGGTTGGGTTTTTTGTTTGCGGTTGTTTTTTTCACCCTTTGGCTGCATGAAAATTGACCACAATAGTTTTCTTATCATGCAGAGGGAGTTACTCCAGTGTGAAGCTTATTGAGGCATATGAAGAGTGGTGAGTGCCTCATGATTAGGATAATTTAAGTCTTAATATTTTTAATGCAGGAAGAAAGCGATGAGAGAAAAAAAAATGTTTGGAAAACAAGCTGAAGGATCTTTATTATGAGTTGGGATAAGCAGAGTGGAGAGAGTGAGGTCCCCAGCAGCTGTGTGAGGCCCCTGTGCAGGCTGTGGCCCTGGGCTGCAAGGGGTCATGAGAGGGCTCTTCTGTGGACTGAGAGGTGTGACATCAGCCACCAGGATAGCAAGGACCAACTGACCTGGAATGGAGGAGCATGGCCTACCAGTAGGAATGTCAGTAATGTGTATCTGGAGGTGCAATGGCAGCTGATGGAGAAGATCCATAGGCAGAAATGGCTGGGGTAGCGTACTCTTGGTCAGAGCTGCTCCCTGCCCCAGCCCCAGGTGCAGCTTCCTAGCGAGGAGAGAGCTCTGCCAGTTCTCTTCCTACTGGGGAACTGGCCCAATGGAGTGGCTGGGTGTGGTGGGGTGCTTTCTGGCTGACACATTCAGGCTGCCTGGAAGTAAAAGTCTTGGATGCTTTCGGACCAAATGCATGGGTGCTCTTCATCTCCATCAGAAGGAAAAGGCTGGTCTCTGAAACTGAATTTATTCTATTCCCAGCTTTGTTCTTAGATCTCTCTCAGGACCTAATTTACATTGCATCTGGCTGTTTAGCTTTCAGTAATCCTACTATTCATACTTCTGTCATCATGGCTGGGCTTCGCAAACGAAGATTTGGGAAGGGCTCTATCCACGTTTGTTGCAAGCGCGTTGGTACCATGAGAAAAATGGGTGGGTTAAAAATTATATTGTCTGTGGCTTCACTTGTTGGCTATGTTGCAGTTTGTAAGATTATCGGGTAGCTAAAATGGTGTGAGAGAATATGTATAATCCCTCTGTATATAACTGAATTAAAGTGAAGGTTTTACAATTCTTACATAACCTCTTTCTGCGTGTTGGCTATTTTTTGTTTTGGTTTGGGGGTTTTTTGTTTGGTTTTTTGGGGGGTTTTGTTTGGGTTTTTTTGTTTTGTTTTGTTTTGTTTTATTTTGTTTTGGGGGTTTTTTTTGGAGTTTTTTGGTTTTTTTTGCATATCTACAAAGTGGTAATAACTTTTTACTCCTCGGTAGGTTGAAATAATGCTAGGAAGTTGTCATAGTTGAGAAGTAGCTGCTAGTGATTGCTACATAGTGATTTGTACTATTACAATTTCCTAGCAACAGTATCCAACAGTTTCAGACAACTCTGTTAATCTAGGCATCTCTAGCAGTGTTGCACAAGTGCAATTTGCGCTATAATTTCTAAATTTTTAATAAAAAAGACTTAGCTCTTATTAAAAATAAGAACAGCAACTGTTTGGTTTTGTGTTTTGGAGTGTTGTTGTGGGTTTTTTTTCCTTTTTGG